AGGCCGGATTTATACACATTACAAGAAGAAAAATAAAATTATATTTCAACCACTCGGGTTAAGCCATCCTGTAGTAATACAGTTTTTGGTTGCAACTTCCAAACTATTCCATATATAAACTGGGACCAATCTGTACACGTTTTTTAATTTATTTTGATATTTCGATTCGCTGGGACAGATCTAGAAGTACAGATATACGACGAACATGCAAGATGGAGAACATCAAGAACTGGGTAAGAAATAGAAGAGTAGAATGGAACGATCATATAAGCCGAATGACAACAAACAGAGTAGTAAAGACTAGAGGTATTAGTTCTTTTAGACGAACTAGTTCAAGAGAACTATTTCACAAAAATGAACTAGTTCAGTGAACTAGTTCGCGAAAGAACTATTTGTAGGACCGAAATCGAAATCCAACCCTAACAGAACTAGTTGTCAGATGTCTCGTCTCAATCATCACAGAAGCTCGGCGCCGGCCGCCCGTTTTCTTCGGTTTTCAGTCATAGTTCACTACCGTACAAGTAGTTCGGAACTATTTCTTTCGATCGTATGTTTAGGTTTAAATGTTTTAAATTATTATATGATTAGTTAGTTTTTATGTGCAAATTATTTTTAAGATTTGTGTTTTATTAACCGTTTTAAATATAAATATGGTTCACGTATGATTTATTTTTATATTTACGTATATTTAAACTCATAGGTATTTATAATTAGGTTATTTCTAAAAGAACCTTTACAAAAAAAATCAGTGAATTTTCTAGGAACATTAAATAACACATTTTCATTCTCACTTTTACATAAAATTATATTTTATGTAAATGACGCAATCATTTTAACCACAACTAAAATTTTTATTTCAAAATTACAATACAAGAAACAACATAGCATGGCAACATCCAAGCCAGTACATGGGCATAAGATCCGAACCATTATGACATTAAGATAAGACTTTATGTTATTGTCACATTCATAAGAATTATGAATCTGTTATCTGAGGCTAATCGGCATTTTTTAAAACTAGTTAGTCCATCCATTCACAAAATAATAAATATATTATGTTCTCATTCATTCATTCATTATTTTCTTCTTTAGTTGAGACACAATTTATAATGCAAATCGTTCGCAGTGAACTAGTTCTATGAAAATTAATGAACTAGTTCAATTAGTTCAGTTGAAAGAATCGTTTTTTTGAACTATTTCGATGGTGAACTACACATCTCTAGTAAAGACAAGAGACGGTTCCCCAATAGAAAGACGATCAATAGGAAGACCACGAAAACGATGAAACGACAACTTACTGGAGGCACATTGAAAAACAGACAGAGTCATGTCTATATAAAAAAAGAAGAAGAAGATTCGCTTCAAAGTTATGAATTATTGAATAAAGCATTGCGTTTTCTTAGCGTGTATTTTAATTTTATCATTTGCAACAATAATAATGCCACTACACTCTATAATGGCTATCAAGAAGGATAGTAAGTGAGCGACCAGCCGTGTGGATGACACGCATGGCATAATCAGCAGACGACTCATATCATAATTAGCGTGTATTCGGGAATAGAGAGACGGGAGATCAACTAGATTAAATACAAACAAAATACCGGAAGAAGAACAATGATTATATTATAACAAAGAACAAGGAACTAGCAGAAGAAGAGGACAAACAATCCGAAGTAAATCTAGCAATGAAAACACCAATAAAAATAAAAGCCTCTTTGGGCTACTTAAATTGATGATGAAAGATGAAACATTCACATGTTCCTTGTTATTATTTAGTTTTGGCTTTAAGTCACTACCAGATGAGTATGTGTAGGTCTTATCTTAATACAAATCTCTTCAGCAGAATAATCTGTGTCCAAACTGAATCGAATATCATCGAAAGTCAGAATATTCATCACCATCATCATCATCATCATGCCTCTATTTATCACGTCCACTGCTGGACATAGGCCTCCCTTAAACTCCTCCATTCCTCACGATTTTGTGCTCTTTGTTGCCAATTTTTAGTGATACGCCTGATGTCGTCGGCCCAACGTGTAGGTGGTCTTCCTCTACTGCGTTTGTCTGCTCTTGGCCTCCAATTTGTAATTTTATTCACTGATTTTTTCCCAGAGAGCTCCCACCGCTCTCTGGGAAATCCAAAGCTGAATGAGTTCATTGATGATATTCAGGTATGATTCATATTAAAGCAATATTTGAGCTTGAATTAGACCGAGTGCTGTACTTAGCCAAAGAAGGTATGCAGTTAGAAGCAGTTGCCATCGTCTTTAAGTAGAAAAAAACCACTGTGTTGTATTCATTAAAAATAATTGTCAAATTTGTAAAAAAAATAGGTTAGATGTGTTGGCAATATTGAATAGATTGAAATAGCTTTTAGAAATCAATAACACCTAGTCTTTGTTATGGCAAAATGTTTTTCACACTATTTTTTACACCACTACAATTTTTATTATCTCGTATTTTAATGAAGACATTAGTGACAAACTAGAAAACAATAACACAGGTAAAGTACAATACAGCAATGCTTACTGGTAGCTATCTTTACCGCTCAACGATCTTCGGATTGGTACAGGCATACACGATTCGTGTGACGTCACATTTCACCAGAGATCCTTTGCAGCAGTACTGATTTAGCTTACGACTAATTCTAGGTTCGAAAAATAAGCTTTAACAACAGTGGTAAATATAGCTACCGCTGACACTTAAAGGGTTAAAGCGTATTCTATATAAATGACGAGTCCATTATTAAAATTGCTCTAGCCATTTACTTTTTTTTATTTAATTTTATATAAAAATAAAAAAGGTTATGATCTGTACCACTGTAAAGTTTAAATGCTGAATACGAATCACGTTTTTTTGTATATGTTTAAGTTTGAGCTGCACTGATTCCATCGTGTATTACTAAACGAGCACACATGTGCTGATTTGGCCAACTATTTGAATCTGTAGCTATTTACGTAAGATTAGTAAGCTCTTAATCTTTTTAGAACAACAAAATAATCATTAACTCTTATTGTACAACAATAATTAATAGCTAAATTCGATTAAGGTTCTACTATCAAAGATTTTAATTACTAAAATGATTGGTTTTCAAGTTCAAAAAGCACTTTGTTTATTGTAATCTCTTGTTTCTTATAGAATCACAAACAAACAAATTTTTCAATTTAAAAAAAAAATTATAAAAATAAAATCTTTCTTCATATGGAAATATAGGATGACAGTAAAAATATGCAGTTATATAATATATTCTTAAGCCGTGATAGCTAACACTCCATGTAAATGAGTATTAAAAACTGATCATGTTTATTGGAAACTTTCGTTTTTAACACCTGTAAATTTTTAATGTTTCATCTTCATAATTTCCATACTATAACTTTCGAACAACACTATTTTCCACAAAATTGAAACTAGCAAACAGTTTTATGTCACTATTCGTTTGCAAGAAACATTTTAGAACTAAGTTACACTCTTTATGTAATAAATTGTTTAACGTTAATACCTCCCTTAATATGTTTCTTGCAATCAGTAATGTTTTAATTGGGTTTCCTACAGAAGTTTTATATTTATATGCTTTAAAGGAGAACAGATCATATAATTGTATTTTGTAATATTTAACATTGTTATATAAATAACAACTGGGATTAGACTCTTTACTTGTTGTATTACCTCGTCCTACTAATCATTAAACGAGGTTTTAAAATAAGTAAAAATAAAGAAAGATTGTCAATAGTAAACAATAAATAAAGATATCATGCTAAAATGACGCAGTTCTGATAGTGGATGGGTGAAAACATCTGGTAGTATCAAAAGAACACACAAGATGCAAACTTAAGATTGAAAATCAGATGATACAACAAGTAATGTGCTGTAAATGCCTTGGAACCGAGTTGTCAAATGACAACAATATTGAGGAATAAGTAAGGAACAAAAGCGAGCAGAACAGTGGTAGACTAGGCGACACAATCATCAATGACACTACAGCCTTAGTGGAGCCTCGACTTTTCCCAATCTATTTCGTCAGTCGTTACTGTTCATCAACAAATTGTTCCTAACAAATTCTTTTCTTTGGTGTCCTAAAAGTTCGATAAAAGAAATTAATTTCCTTAGTATATCCATAAAACAAATGGGATGTGTTATAATGGGGCATTTAATGTTTTTTCTGATTAATATATTTACTATTTAATTCGAATTGATATGATTCCTCTTCTTTTTCCTTTATTCATTGTAAGATTGCGTTGTGTGTAAGCCTTTTATCATTATCCTGCATATAATATTGTACAATAGTTATATACAAGACCTTAATAAGACCGGTTTTGATGTATCGGGCTGAAACGTGTACCTTATCTCAAAATGATAAGACTTCTTGGTATTTTTGAGAGAAAAATTCTTAGAGATACAACAAAGAAATACAACTTTCCAGAGATCCAGATATTGTGAAATTCGTTAAAGTGCAGAGATGGGCTGGACATATTGCTAGGATGTCAAATCACGAATACACGAAGAGATTAAAATTTTCAAAACCAGAGGGCACAAGAAGCGGAGGACGACCACGAATGAGATGGATTGATGATGTGGAAGATCTACAGATTCTAAGGGTTAGAAGATGGAGGGAAGTTGCCAGGAATCGACAGGAGTGGCGATTTCTTTGTGAGCAGGCCAATATCCACAACGGCTTGTCGAGCCGCTTATGATGATGATGAAATTGACGATGTTTTATCAATAAAAGGATTTTATTTACAGTACACACTTGCTGAATTTTCCTTTTACATTACTCCCTTCTTTATTATTTAACTCTTCACCTGAAGGTAGTAAGACCTGAATGTTAAAGTAAAGAAAAACGTATGATTTGTTAACTGAACAAAATAGAAATTTTAAACTTAGATAAAACAGTTTTTACTTTACTATAAATAAATTAAAACTCTGTAGGATATCCGACATTCATATATTTTTATGTTTTATGTTTTGTTAAATCAACATGTTCACTCTCCATATTGTGACAGGTGTATCGGGAAGTGCTCCAACCTCGGAATTTGTTCGACAAGAATTGCGTGCTGTTGTTGGAGCCAGAACTGCTCAAGCTCAGCCTGCCGCAGGGACGACAGCGCCTCCTACAAGGCCACCATCCCAGATGCAGATTTCACAGCAGCAACAAGTTAATGATCTCGAAACTTTAGGACTCAATTTTGAAATGGGTAGCGGTAAGTTTCCTTTTTAATGGGCCTGTATGGAATTTTACATCAAACTAAGAATTTACATACACGATTTTAAGAATATTACTATTTTAAAATACTTAAATTATCATTTTTTTGCCATAGTTGCTTGCTTCATGTTAAACTGTTTTGAAAATATTTTTCCACGCACAAATATGTGGGAAGAGGCAGAAGACGGAGGCGAATAGAGTGCATTTTGCAACTTCGTATTTAAACTCATTAATTTTCGCGATATTTTGGATTTCATTTTCTCACAGTTGCCTGTTTCATGTTAAAGTATTCTAAAAATATTTTTCGACGCTTGAATTTTTTGATATATGCGAAGAATTAGAAGATAGAGCAAGCTAAATCTGACAAAAGAGTCGATTTTGCAACATTTCCTACTTAAACTATCTGATTTTCGCCTATTTTTTGAGAAAAATGACGTTTAAATGGTATGAATAAAGATCGTAAACTTATAGAAATTAAGGAAAACTGGAAAACATCTTGTCCTTGATATATATTTAGATACGAGAAATATAATTTCCTTCAACTAATCATCATCATCAGTGGCATTACAACTCGTTATGAGCCTAAGCCTTTTTCAGAACAATCTTCCATTCGCCCCTGTCTCTGGCAACTCTTCTCCATGCTTTAACTCCGATGGATTTTAGATCATCCTCTATGTTATCTTGATACCTAAGTTTTGGTCTTTCTCTGGCTTGTCTTCCTACTGGTCCTCTTCGGTCGAAAATTTTTCTGATCGCTGCATCTTCATCTCGCCTAGTTACATGTCCTATCCATCGAAGGAGTGCTACTTTAATACATTTTACGTCAGGTTCCCCAAAACTTCTGTATAACTCAAAGTTGTAGCGCCTACGCCACAAACCCTGTTCTTCCATATATTTTCCTTAGAATTTTCTCTTGAAACGATTAAGCAATTCTTGGTCGTTCTGCGTAAGTGACCACGTTTCTGACCCGGATATTAACACTGGCCTTATTAGTGCTTCATATATGGTAACTTTAATGTTTCTGGATAGTTTTGGGACCATCTGTTTCCTCAAGCCATAATAGCATTTATTGGCAAACACTATTCTTCTTTTACTTTCTTCACTGACATTGTTATCTTTAGTCAGCAGCAAGTCCATGTAGACGAAACACCTTCCAGTTCCAGATCATCAATTAATAGTCTAGGTATCTGATTGCCTGATCTAGTACAATACATATACGTGGATTTCTGTGCGTTTATTTTTAATCCCGTTCTCAGTGCAGACGCCCGTAATGATCGAAATGCTTCGATCAGAGATTCTGTGGACTTAGCAATAATGTCTATGTCATATCCGACCACTTATACAGACTTATTAAAGATGGTGCCATTTGTATTAATATGGCACTCTCGAGTTACTTTTTCTAGTGCAAGGTTAAATAAGAGACACGACAGTCCATCTCCTTGTCTCAGTCCATCTCCTTGTCTCAGTCCATTTGTTACAATGGAAGAGTCTTGAAAAGTCATTTTGGATTCTGACGACACTCTCTACACCTGTGAGTGTAAGTTGCGTTAGTTAAACAAGATGAAGCGGCACTTGAAATTCTACCATAGCCTGTAGAAGTTTTTGTCTGTTGACTGAGTCGTATACGGCTTTGAAATCCACGAATATGTTGTGGGTGTCTACTCCGAACTCAAGCGTTTTCTCAAGAATCTGCCTGACTGTGAAGATTTGATTTGTTGTTGATTTATTGGGTCGGAAACTGCGCTGGAAGTTCAGCATAGGAGATCAATCTTCTGTACAATACGTTGAACAATACTTTCTTCTCCTTCAACTAATAATGGAAGAAAAAATAGAAGGAAAACGGAGTCCTGGCAGTCGACAAATAATATGGTTGTGTAACATCAAGGAATGGAAAGAACTATACCTACAAACCTAACTAAGAAAAGCCCAAAATAGATATGAATTTGCAGAAGTCATAGCTAATCTTCATTAGATATAATAAAAGTCATTTCGGTTTGTTGGTTTTTATTTCTTATTTTATCATATATATTTATAAGGTCGGCTTGATAATTCAGGGACCGATGTGAGATATTTACTAGATTTTTTTTTTTTCGAAAGCCGTTCGTTGTTATAACTGGTTGTACTATAGTCAATTGGCTTATTGTAAATCTTCCTTTCGTTTAATTTTCTGACCCAGGTATTAATGTTAACGACTACATACAGCATCAAGCATCAAACAGAAAGCTGGAGTATTTCGTACATGTAATGAGAGGTCCCAAATATAGGTTCCTACAAAATATCGTCCAAGGAAAAATAGCAGGCAAACGCAGTCCAGGACGAAGAAGAACCTCATGGTTGAAGAACCTCATGGTTGAAGAACTTGCGAGAGATTGGTATGGTGTTGATACAAGCATGCTATTTAGGGTGGCAGTGAATAAAATTAAGATAGCTATGATGGTAACCAACGTTCTGAAAGGACATGGTACATGAAGAAGAAGACTACATACATAGCCTCCACTACTGAGTTCATACTTGGTATGCCCCACGCAGGAATTTTTCAAACGCAGCAGTATCAAACTCAAAGGGGATTTGAGTTTTCAATTAAAAGTGAATGTTATACGATAAGTGATAGGCAATTCGCTCATCAGTAATCCTTACTGGTACGAGGTAATTACATACCTACGTCTGTTCATGAAACGAAAATTGTGTCATAGTACCTAAACACCATAATTTTTTCCGTTGTTGTTATACTAGAGCTACATTTAGCAACTCTGAGAGTTCATTAAAATGTATTTGACACCGAAATCATCAATGCTGTTTGTTTTTATTGGCTCCTTTTTCAAAAATAAATTAAAAAAAGTTTAGAAACCTATAAATTTAAAATACCGCAGAGAATGCTGGACTTGACTTCAGAGAGGGATATCATTTGACTCTGTTTAAGCGCTCCAAATGAGTTTCTGCATCGTTTCGTGACCGTCGACGAAACATGGATCCACTGATACACACCGGAGACCAAGTCGAAACAGTGGAATTCAACCGACGAATGTGCTCCGAAGAAGACGAAGGCTGCCCTATCGTCTGAAAAGGTGATGACCACTGCTTTCTGCTATTCACAAGGTCTGATCTACATTTGTAGAAAGGCAAAATGGTCACGGTGCTCTACTATGTAGATATAATTGAATTCATCCAACGTATTCTCCAGATTTGGTCTCGTGCGAAAATGAAAATCCTCCAAAGAATATTCTACCACTGAGACCACCAAGTGGTAATAAATTCGTAATTTACAAAAAAATATCAGATATAGGAAGTAACCTTTTTCCTAAATTTTGTATTTTAATATAATTACGAGTATTTCTAATCTTTTTAAAATTAAAAACAATGCACGAAACTTCTTAGTTTGATGTCATTATTTTTGCCTTATATACAATACAGACAATGAAGAGGCAATGATAGTTGTCTCTTTGTTTTCTACTCTTCTGCCACTTGAATCATTGGGTGCAAAGCAAATTGGGAATGTTTCTTTAAGTCAGACATTTTTGGGAAAACTAAAAAAATACTATTCAATTTTATGTACAGATTTGTAGAACGAAGGGTGCACTTCTATTCGGGGGATTGTGTGTTAACTTATACTAACTTTAATACATACTCTCTAGCATTTTATTCGTCTTAACCAATTTTTTATTTTCCAAAAATGTTTGATTTGGATTAACTCATCGAAGTTTGTATAAAAGAATATTGTACAGTTGTTTAAATCTTTGGGAGATTGGCTGACGATTGTTAATAATAGTAACTCTCCCGTCTTCTCTGTGCCCACTAAGTGGTTCGTATTGCGTGTTTATGTGTTTTACTAAACATACTGAGGGGCAGATATCACCCTCATTGCTTTGTATACGTGATAAATGAAAATATAGATTTTCATAGGTGCGTTAATAAACTGGTAAATTTACAGATTATGGGCCGGTTGTTCGAACGCTAATCAAAACTTGATTGTAATCATATATTTAATTACCAACAAATACGTTACATCAGCTGTCAAAATTATTAAAAATTGCTTATTATTATTGATTTGCAAATAAAAACATGAAATTAATAACAGAAATAGTTTAATTATGGTTTATTTTAAATTAAAAGGCAAAATAATAAAATTGAATAAAATTAATCAGTCAACATAACCTCAAAATGTGACGTATTTGATTTTAATTAATTATTTGATTACAATCATATTTTGATTAGCGTTAGAACAACTGGCCCTAAGTTTATTAATTATTAATTAAGTAGTAGATGAAAGTTGTTCATATGGCGACTATTCTATGACGTACCGTATTGACTACATTTATTGATGAAAATTACATGATTTAATATTCATAATTAAAATAAAAGCCACTCTTTCGTGGCTCAAATAACTCGGTTATATTTGAGACCAACGTCCACGAAATATCCGATCGCCGTGTAAACTAATAAGATTTCGTGACAAATAGATATTTTTTTATTTTTTCAAGGAGTGTAGGCTTTCATGGTCAGTGTTTTGTACGTTACATTATTTTCGGGGTTTATAGGCTAATTAATAGGGTAATTCGTCTGGAATTATTTCGTCACAAGTACGGTATCGCATCGCTTTTGATAATTTCTACAGCAATTGCAGAGGAAAAGACGAGAAGAAATGTTTGCAAACCAAAACAAAACTCAAAAAGCAATATATATTATTTTATTTCCGTGCAATTAAGTTCCAAGGCTGTTGGTAGAAAATATTTACTAATTTTTTATAATCTTTCATTTTCGCTCTTCAATATACTTTCTTTCCTGCACCGCTCCATGGGAACCTTTTACTGTGTGAGTCAGTGCTGCAGTTCATATTCCGACATGCTGTTGAGTTGCTGCGACGATATTTGTTTTATATCCTCTAATGACTGGTGGCCAGTTCGTTTCAAGAGAATTTGATTTTTGGAAACTAGTAGAAGTCTCAAGGTGCCAAATCTATTGAAAAGGCGGGTACTTCGTGACTTTGTTCTGATTTTGGCA